CTTGACGGAGAGTGAAACTCTGAAGCGCTCAGTCATACTTATACTTAATAGCCTCCAACTCGCACACTGGCGAGTAAAATCAGAACATTTATTAGCCAATGGCTAATATTAGACATCATTTAGTCGCCCAGAGTAAGATTTAGTCGCATATGCGAGTGAGTTACTCGCAATGTAGAGGGTTGACTCGGTGCGGAAACGATCTCTGCACTGCTGCAGACGCATCGCTCCTGAACGCACTGCCGAACTGCAACCGTGTGCAGTGTGAATGCTTTAATCCATTAACATGAGCGCGGAAAAAATACGCACCGCATATAATGTGAACTTGGCATTATGTGTGTGCGCTGCAAGTGTGCATGAGCGTGCGTGCACGGTCTCCAGGAGAGCGCGCGAGCACTGAATGATTAAACACTGGCAAGAATTAAAAAGTAATGCAATTTATAAATTTTAGTGACGATGTGACACTGCCTTGATTGTGCTGTGGCAACTGTGCAGCGTGCAGCTCGCTTATAGACAGACGCGATGTGTGGTTATTTGAAGCCATTTGTGTATTTTGAGCGAGAGAGAGAGCTCACGCTGTTTGTGAAATTTCGTCTCACACAAGGTTTTTAAATTACTTTGTAAGTTATTTAATGAAGAAATATCAGGTGAGTACCTCACCTTCAGCATTATAATTATTTCACCCACGCCGGACAGAAACCGAGACGGTGCCGCTGCATGTCGTGCCAAACCTCTCACGGCAGCGTCATCAGCTTGAGATCGGCCTTTTTAGAGACCGCCGATCAAACATCCCAACGTGATTATCGGCCGATAGTGATCGGTAGCCGATCAATCAGAGCACCCCTAGTATTTAGTATGATCTCGTTGTGTTGAAGTCCGAATAAATGGTGCATTTGTTAAGTTTTATTCCAGCTCAGTAAATAGAGCTCACACCATTCAGCGGTGACTTAGCAAATGGTCAGTAAAGTTAGAGAGCCGTGAAGTGAAGAGTTAACGCAGTGAGGGTCAGTTATATTGACTTTTTTTGAGCTAGATGCTCTGTTCTGCTCCGTTCTGGCCCGTATCATATGCTATTTCATTCAGTTTTTCTCTTCTGCATCTAAAGTTTTTCTTTTCTTTTTTTTTTTTGTTCTCCTACTTAGGGCCCACTTCCCTTGAGAGATGACAATGGAATTGTTCTGCTGGGGGAGAGAGCTGCTAAATGTCGGGCCTACGCCAAGGCCCTGCACTACAAGGAACTTGAGTTTCAAAAGGGCCCTTCACCACTCATTTTAGAATCCCTCATCAGGTAGGAATCAAAACATTTCTTAAGTCTGAGGGAGCCATGCAGATATATTTTGGAGAAAAATACACTGTCGTTCAAAAGTTTGGGTTCAGTAAGATTTGTAATGTCTCTTCTGCTCATCAAGGCTGATCAGAAATACAGAAAAAATAGTTATATTGTGAAATATTATTACAATTTAAAACAATGGTTTTCTATTTTAATATACTTTAAAATATATTTTATTCCTGTGATCAAAGCTGAATTTTCAGCATCATTACTCCAGTGTCACATGATCCTTCAGAAATCATTCTATTATACTGATTTATTATCAATATTGGAAACAGTTTTGCTGCTTACTGTTTTTTGGAATCTGTGATACATTTTTTCAGGATTCTTTGATGAATAAAAAGCTAAAATGAACAGCATTTGTTCAAAATAGAAATATTTTGTAACAATATACACTACTGTTCAAAAGTTTGTGGTCAGTATTTATTCTTTTTTTTTTTGAAAGAAATTAATGCTTTTATTCAGCAAGGATGTGTTAAATTTATAAAAAGTGTTAATAACGACTTATATTGTTATTTAAAAAATTTTTTTTTAAATTAATACTGTTCTTTTTAACTTTATTTATCAAATAATCCTGAAAAAACTATCACAGGGTCCAAAAAAAATATTAAGCAGCACAACTGTTTCCAACATTGATAATAAATCAGCATATTAGAATGATTTCTGAAGGATCATGTGGCACTGAAGACAGCAGTAATAGCTGATTAAAATTCAGCTTTGCATTGCAGAAATAAATTATATTTTAAAGCATATTAAAATAGAAAACCATTGATTAAATGGTAAAAATATTTTACAATATTACTGTTTTTTCTGTATTTTTGGTCAAATGAATGCAGCCATGATGAACATAAGAGACTTCTATAAAACATTAAAAATCTTACTGATTCCAAACTTTTGAACAGCAGTGTATGCCATATGGCTCATTTATATAAAGGTATACTTTAGACATGACAAGAAACAACCATCAATAGGGGTTTGGTCTCCAAAGCTAGACTTTCTCTTCAAATTCAGCAAAAACATAATTATGCACTCAGTTTTCATTTTTTAACCACACACACCTACAAATGTCCCCTTACACTGTTTATAAGTATGCGCTCAAATGTTTTAAAAATTTAATCACCAAACCGTGTCTCAAGTTTCCTCCAATGTTCCTGCATTGATTGCTTGTTTTGGGACGACTTCAGGTTTCATTTTAAATGTGGTCTGTGAATTACTGGAAGGTGCTTTGGGAGTTGAGTTTCCCCTTGATTCCTCCATAACGGTGTAGGTGTAATGTCCTTCACAGAGACATTAACTAGTGTGGTCTGTTGAAAGTATAAATAAAACATTTTTTATCTGATGTAGTATTTCAAGAATAAAAGTAAGTGATGATGTCCAAAAACAATAAAAGATGCTAAGTGATGCATCTTTTATTGATTTGCCTGATTAGCACAGTTTTCCTTGATGTTTTAGTCTGGGCAGGACATATCAAAGATTTAAAAAAAGCCAATAATATTTCCTTTTTTTTTTCATAGCCTGGCAAATGTGCATTTGACAGCTATATTAAAAGCTAATTCCAATAGATCTCCCCTATAGATTTAATATGAAGCACATTGATAAATTTAGCAAGGGTAATGATGTGTAGTTTGAAAAGTGTGTAATTTATGGTGGTGCATCCTCCTCGTCTGCTCTTCTGTTTATAATGTCAAGACTGGTGAACCGTGAACCGTCTTTAAAAATTAAAATTTCAGAAATGAAAATTCTCTTATTTACTCACACTCAAGCCGTCCCAGAGGCATATGACTTTCTTTCTTCTGATAAACACAAACAGAGATTTTTAGAATAATAATCCATCTCTGTGAGTTCACATAATGCAAGTGGATTGCATGACACAAAACTAGACTTCATTTGCCTTGGAGTCATTGTTTGGTCCCAACCTACTCTACAAAACTAGAACAACATGTTTTTTTTTTTAATGGAGTAGCATATAGCTAGATATTTTTGACTTAGAAAAAAGTAAGATTTCCTTAATCTTAATCTTCATTTTCATTTAATTCTGAGCTTATCCTAGTGTTTTAGTGACATCTGCTCTCATCATTTTTTCCATCCACCTGTTTATTTTACACTGCAAACTTACAGAGTCCTAGATCTTTTTTTTTTTTCTCTCCAGCCTTTTCATTTGACTCTTTCCTCTTTTAATCTATTCTGTATCTGGCTCGGCCCTCCCATGGAGCTGTTTTTAATTTCAGAGGACTTGAGGAGTGCTTAAAGTAAGATCATTTTAATGCATCCCAGCTGCCTCCACACACTTCAGTCTTAGCAGAGGCCTTAGTTAGATCTGCATTTGTTTTTCTACTTTAATTTTGGAAAAATTAGGGTTGATTGGTGGTTAAAGAGATCTTTTCAGTCTAATGGTATGCAGTGTCTCAGGTCACATTCCTCGCTTTCTTGAGATCATTTTAGAGCAGTGACTTTAATTTGCTTGATTGAGCGAAGATCTCTTTGGGAAGTTTTGATTACTCCAAAACATAAACAGTATTTGAAATTATTACTGAAAAGGCATCTGTTAATTTAGTTAGAAAAGGTACCAATTGATGTCTTTGCATTATCTACAAATGTAAACTCTCAGTACATTTCAGAATGGAATCAGTCATTATCAGATGTCTCGTCAGGAAGCTTGTGATTGTGACCAAGACACTTCTCGTCTAACCCTTACCGTATGCATCTACGGTATGAATCTTCCCCTCCCGCAGACGGCACACCCAAGACTCACTCACTGCCTGATTTGTATTGTACAGAGGAATGGTTAGAGAAATTGCTGGTTCATGGTCAGAAATAGTCGTCTTCTTTACAATCCTTATTACAACTTTTTGAAGAATGACTATGTCAGACAGCACCTAGGTGTTCATTACATGGCTCTGTGCTATTCCAGTGTTATGAAAGTGCACATTTATGTTGTCAGAGGGGCACGTTTTTTATGTTAAATTGTTGTCTCCTGATTGACGAACATTTGTTGGTGATATTTATTGTTTAGTGGTCCAGGTAGATTCAATATTGTTTTAATATTGTTTCTGTGGCTGCTATTTAGAATGTGCATTTTGGCGTATGCCAGTGTTTGTCTGTGTTTGTTACTGAGTGTGGTCCACATTTGTCTAAATAGTGCATCTCTGAATTAGTGATCGACCGATATTGATTTTTTATTACCGATACCAATTATTTGCATGTTTATGTGCCCAATAACCGATATGCAGAACCGATATTTATTTACTGTCATAAAGTAAATAAATGAATGAGTGAAGTAAGAACATACTTCACTTTGGTTTTTCCTCTTTTCAGTCATCTTTTTAAAAAATTTTTAAGTGTTGAAAATTAGCAGTCTTTCATGTTAAATTTAATCTATACAACAGAGAGAGAATTAAATTCAGCACTTTTATTTCCAACATGCGCTCATTCATGGCTGTATTATTTAACTCATGCAAAGTTACGTCTTTATTGGTAGAGGATCTTGACGGATTATCTACGTGACTCCGACTTCACGAGACTAACGATGAGCATAGACAACAGAGAGAATTCAATTCAGCGCTTTTATCTCCAACATGCGCTCATTCATGGCTGTATTATTTAACTCATGCAAAGTTACGTCTTTATTGGTAGAGGATCTTGACGGATTATCTACGTGACTCCGACTTCACGAGACTAACGATGAGCATAGACAACAGAGAGAATTCAATTCAGCGCTTTTATCTCCAACATGCGCTCATTCATGGCTGCATATTTAATTCAGGCAAAGTTACGTCTTTTTTGGGACAGAACTTGACGGATTATTTTACATGACTCCGTGAGTTGGTCTCTATTTCTTAGAGCCAAGCTGCATAAACTACATATCAGGCATTTATGTAATGTTATGTTAAATAAAGTTTACTAACTACAGCAAATCAAGTACCTTAATCAAATCAAATCATGCAGTCACACTGCACCATGCAGTTGTTGTTGTCTCGTCTCCCCTCAGACGCGCAATGGCGATCCTGCGCGCAATTCTCAAAACACCCACAAGATGGCGGCGTTTATCGGCGAATCCGGTATTACAAAACCGATATCCGATTATGATAAAATGCTTAAATATCGGGAAAAATATCGGTAAATCGATATATCGGTCGATCTCTACTCTGAATTAGTAATAAGCTGTTTTCTCATGGAACTTCAGCTAAACTTTGGAGACTGAGCCAGTTCTCGGGCCTGGTACTGATTGTGTTCTGTTTCTTGGGTCCTTTTGTATTGTTTTTGTTTGTGATTTATCATAATAATAATCTTTTGTGTGATAAAGAACAAAGAAACTAAGAAATGCTGAGAAAGTTAGGAAAAAGATCTGATTTGTTTGTTTTCCGTGACTTGTGATGAGACTTGATTTTTTATTTTTTTTGTCAGATGATAAATATGTGATTGAAGTAGAATAAGGTAGGGCGTAGTCTTTTGAAATTTTTTCTGGGTTGTCCTTCATAAATATACCTGCAAGATTAAGAAATTCCTCATTAAGGGTCTGCAATGAAGTGAAGGTAAATAAATTATGACAATTTTCATTAAAACAACTGCTTGATATAGTGCTCAAGTGAATAGAGTGGCCGTTCTTGAAGGTCAAGACAAGTACTTCTAGTACTCCTAGTTGGAAGCAATTTCAATGTAATTTCATAATGTTGTGTGTATTTTGTGTTTTTTCAAGTTTTACTCCCATGGTTGTGACTACCTTCTTATTCGTTTTGTACCAAAGCAGACACACATCATTTAGGTAAAGCAAAAAGGGTTTTTTAAATATACAATTTATTAATCATCCAATATTTTACTTTTTACACAGTTCATTTTACTGTACCAGTGAATTTACTATAATGTCTCTGAACTGTCAAATTGTTTGTGATTGTACATTGAGCATTTTGTGTGAATGGCTTACATTAGCTTGTTGTTTAGTCTTGTTGCTTTCAATGATC